TCCCCGGCTCCATTCACCCCTCCTTCGTCTCTGGAGAGGTTTCACTATCCATTGAAAGGGTTGAACGGTGTGTGTCGGGCGGAATACAAAGCAGGGAAAGAGAGAACTGGGAAAAGGCTCCGAGAGACTTGAGATGCTTATCCTAATGTGATTCAAAGCACTGCTGAAATTGACTCGCAACGACTTCTGTATGACTAACAACTGCCAGGCGCAACACTCAGAAGAAAATAGACTGAATCGATGAGCGGATGTGGCTGAGATTTTTTTTGTTTTTAGATATGTATTTAAATCATGTCACAATGTTGTGTTTCTGTTTCAAATCAAACTATAACTTGTATCAAACAAAGTAAGCATTAAGTGTTCTTTGGTTAGGGCTATGCTTCTGATTTGAAAATGCAACAACATGATCGTCATAAGATATGCCTAGAAGCACTCTCACCTTTGGCTTGTTGCCACTGCTGTCCAACACCATCCTCCAGTCGGAGCCATTGTTGCTGTGGCCGATGCGGAACCTCTTCATGAAGACTTTGTTCTCACGGTGCTTCCCTCCCTGGATGATCATCCCTTTCACCAGCTTCTCATCGCCGAGATCCACCTGCAGCCATTCGCTGGTGAAGGGCTGGGGCTGGGGCAGCAGGGTCCACCCCGTCCTGCTGGTCAACAGGCGGGCGTTCTCTGGCACCCAGCTCCGGTCCGTATGGGAGGAGGCAGTGATCTGGCTGTCCGTGATCAAACCTGATACCATGCCCAACATGCCCGAACATGGGTACTCTAAAACACAAAAGCAAAGCGAAAGTAGGTGAGCTTGGCAGAGATGATGTGCAACAAAAGACTTGACCAATAGGCAATACCTAAAGGCCTATTTTCGACATCATTTACCATTCCACAAGTCTTCTTTGGTGAGTTTGAGGTTCAACAGAAATAGTGAAACACCAAGTGAAGAGGACAATTCCCCAAAGTCTTTGTGATGTTGCTGTGATCTCTCCCTCTATTCTCCTTTTCTCTGTCTGCAGATCTCATGCATACTAATACCTCTGCCTGAAGCGCTTGTCTCCAGGCAGCCAATTAAAACCCTCCTCTCGGTTGGTGCTTCCACGTCCTGCATTCTGGGAGTGCTTGTTCTTTTCATCTCCCTTATCCACCCCCTCCTCCCTCTATAGACTCACATATACAAACACATAAAAACACATTCTCCCTCTGTTTTATCTGCTGCTGCACTCATCTACCTTCTGCTCCACAGCTGTCAACATCTGTGCGACTTTTCTTGACACAGTGTTGTTTCCTGTCCACATTTTCAAAGTTTTTCTTCTCTACTTCTCTGATCTTACCCTAGCCTATTCTCTGTAGGTTTAAGCATCTTTGGATGTGTTTCCCATTCATTTAAAAAAAGGAGGCAGCTGTTTTCGTATTCCTTCTCATCTTTTATCTTGATGCCATACCTCAATATCAAAAGCCGAGCAGGCAAACAACCTGTTGTTACAGCTGGAAAGCATTTGCATCTTTAAACCAGGAATTTTGTTTTGGCAATTTCCACATGTTTTATTGCCAACACAGATTTCCAGTGTCATGAAACGTTCATAAATAACAACATGTCTACATGTGACCTTGGACAGATATAATTAAGAAACCTGATAAACACATCATTCATTTGCAATGTACCATTTGTTTGTGCGTTTCAGCCTCCATACATCCCCATCAAAAACAAACAACAATTAAATGTGCCTTTTCAAGTTTTGACATTTGATCATTTTGATAAAGCAAATTGTTGAATGTTTTGGCACACAATCTATTAATATACCTTAATGTTGCATTCAGTAGTACTAGAACAAACGGTAAAACGTTATAGGTTTTGTGAGTGTAAAAGTGAATTTTGAATCCAAGTAGAATTGGATGAAACTCACAAACTTTATGTAATTGCTAATGTTCTGATACTTGTTTTAGTGGTTAATCTTCCTTTCTGTGTCTCCCTTACAATTTATCCCAAGACACTGAGTCAGGGACCTGACTGCAATAAAATATTTACTATCTGGCTCCCACGGAGGGATAAATCCGGCCATTATTACATCCTTTGGGTCTGTATGAGACACAGTGTGCACTGTACCACTGAAGGACTCAATAGCCTAGCTGCATCTGGGAAAAAAAGAGTGAAAACTTGGGAGAACAAGGCTTCATTCAGATTGTTCTCGCTGGTTATCCAAAACAGCTCCTACGCAGACCCATGAGACAAATCTCGGGTCCTGCATTCTAGAGCTCAAAGAAGAAACCCCTGGCGATGTGGAGGCCTCTGGACGTTTTTTGTGGGTTTTAATACCTTCTTTCTTTAATCTTTGGCCAACATCTATTTGAAACTGGTCATAGCCTCTGGTTGAGCAGAAAGCGGATTGCCTTTGAAGTGGGAGGATATGAGAATAAGGTAAATGTGTGTGATTGTGTGTCTGATCTGAGTTTAGACACTTGGGTGAAGTCCCCGGGTCATCTGGAGATCCTAATCGACTTCAGCTGCGATCCCAGAAGCCTCAGAGATGGCAGGCACGCAATGACACACCCTGAGGAACAAACATGTGTGCGTGGACTGTAAGTGTGTAGATGGCGATACACGGCGGTGTGGCCAACATTTAGGGTTTGGGTGGAGCATCAGTGGTTCATCAGAGATATTTATACACCAGGGCATATTTACAAACAACAGGGCGGTGGATCTTTTTATTAAGGAGTAGATGTTTTTATCGGCAGAGGCACGCGACCATGATGATTTAGTGGAAAACATCTTGCAACATTCTGGGCGCAACTCCTCCTCTAATCAGATGTCTGAATTATGGTCATGATATCTAAAGTTGTGGTTGGGCACTTGGAAAAAATGCATACTTTCGTATAGCTCCATATATCTCACATTTTGGTGCACTGCATATATTTTTCAGGAAAGGTGGAGGTGTACTCAAAAAGTAAAAAATCTTTCAACAAAAGTTTTCACTAAGTATCATAACTTAAGGTAGAACAGAGTGAGTCACCGAGTTTATGCAGTTTCTCTCTCCTTCAGCGCTGCCTGCGTGCAGTGGAGCTGGCAGTGACTTCATAGCACCCAGGGGTGCTTACGTCCTTACGGAGGCCCTGTGGTGACTACGGTCCTGTGATGTGTTTACGCTGTACAGCGGTTTGGTTGAGCGCCCGAGACACACGCCCCAGCCGTAACCCTGCTGTACCCACAATGCCCTCGGCTGTCACATGAAACGCCTCACATATGTAATGCATAACTCCATACAAACATAAAAAACGTTCATAAAAGCAGGTTCGGCAGGCTACAATTAATCCGGACCCAAACTGTAATCCAAGGATTAATGCTGAACTAACAACACTAATAACATGTTGTTGTTTTTTTGTCCTTGTAAGATATACTCCCTATTCTATACAAAACACACAGCACTAATTAATATTCAATACACATGCTCATAAACCCATAGAGATGCACATAGATGTGCTGAAATCATATGAAAGTCAGCCACACACATACGCCACTCATTAAAATATCATCAATGAGCAAAGACAAGAGAAGCTTTAACAAAATCAAAGCTCTGTAAGCAAAAGACTGGCTGTGGCTAAAGAGGAGGCTGAGAGGGGCCCAGCAGGAGGGAAGGGACCGTTTGCATCCCACCCTGCTCCGGCTCTCTCTGCCTGGCAGCTGTTGGCTCCATTCATTATAAATGAGGTACATCTAAACAAGGGGTAACATAAATAGGTAATCCTCCTTTGTGTGCCACTCGTCTATTATGCAACAGCTAGCTTTAGCCTTAGAGCAGGACTCTCGCAGAAATAGAGCTGCATCCAACACCTGGCAAAAGTAAGGTGTTTGTGCAACTGGGGCCAGACAAGGGAGTGAAACTCACACCGGGGAATGTGGAGAGGTACAAAATCGAGTCAGTGGACTCATCTGATTATGGCTTTTGAATCTGTTCATTGTAATTAGATTATAAGCAGTATAATGCATTGCTGTGTCGAAGTCTGGTAAAACACATAAAAACGTACATTAATCTAATTTTCATGCATAAGAAAGCAATTTCTTGTCATTTTAAATCAATAGGACCATTGTGAACCAAACAACGCACTATTAATGACATACTTTGACATTTTGTTGTCTTGTTGATACTAAAACTGAACAAAAGGATATTGCTAGTTTTTATTTTTCGAAGAGCCAGTATGCATTTAAGGGAGTATGTTTCCATGTTTGTGGTTGTGTGTGTATTTGTGAATGTGTGTATGCAGATCAGCAGCGATCTCAGTTTCACCAACCTGATATCTTACACCCATACACCTCGAAGCGCAGTGCGATGCCTGTTTCCCAGGTAACGGGACGGACCCGCAGGAAGCGCGTCAGCGTGGGTTTGGGCAGCATTGTCTTGGTAACGTCTGTTGGGTTGGTGTTGCCTTGGAAAACCTGTGATAAAGGCGGAAGGAGAGAAAATTATTGACATGTTGAGTTGAGATGCTGGGTGGAAGTTCATCTGAGACCTTGGCTGCAATGAATAAAGAAACGGAGAATGAAGGCAGAAAGATATTGCTTTTTTGATTAAATGCTGCAAGTTTTGTCAAATATAAATGTAGTTAGAATATTTAAATTGACAATCTTTACAATTTTGCTATGCTGTGTTTATACATACGTGACACACATGTAAGACAGACGAAACTGATTCACCCATCACCCCTGAAATTGATCTCCTGCGCCATATGTAGCAAAAACAGGTTGTGGCATGTGCCTGTGAAACCTGAGGCTGTGTGTATAACACTGACAAGACCAGATTGGCTCAAGATGCCCTTTTTCTGTCCTTCAGTTCCACATTTGGTGGATGTTTTACTGCAGTGTCTTGTTTAAAGGTCAGAGATGCCACTGTTCTCCCCTGGGGTCTGATGACAGTTTACTAGCACCATACGAAGAGGCCGGCCACCCAGCAAAACAACTCCCCGAAGTCTGTCACAGTGCATTCTGCGTAATTGAATCACACCACTGACCATATGACCTCCTGACCTCCCTCAACGGAGTAGCTATGGGGCAAAGGGGAGTCCAGCTGAGAGGAGCAGGATGGACAGGAAGCAGTTCCGCTAATCTAGGATGGACTAAAACAGCACCATGGCTGATCCATTAGTCCATACAGCCTTCCTACATGTCTGCAACTCAGTCCCTGAGCGATACCTGTCACTAAGGGACTGCAACAAAGTCATCCACTCTCCTAAATGTCACGATGACTCTCCTCTGCACTCGCTAACTGTATAAAGTGGCTTTCTCCGGCGCTGGGATGCCAAACTGCAGGCTCAGCATGTAGCAAATAGTACCCCTCCGCACAAAAGCACTTTAGAGTCCGGAAAAACACAGGCCTGGCTTACCACGGCACCTTTAAGCCACCACTTTACAGAAGGGACTGTGTACTCTGGAGAGACCATAAAATAATCAAGCCCGGGGCCATGTGTACTGAGAGACACAAACACGCTTGTTTGGATGTTCTGTCGCTGTTGAGAACTTTTATTGTTCCACTTGCGGCTTCGCTGTCTTTCAATCCAAAATTCCTTGTAGTATTTACACATCACACACATGTCTCCATGACCCTTCGTACACCCACAACGGAGGGTTGTTTGCCTCCAGATGGAGAAAACCTGTTCCGATCAGCAATCGATGGTTACAGCCTGTGGCTCTCCGGTCAGGCATGCCATCCCTCCCTCGTTCCCTCTTCTTTTCCCTCTCAACCAGCTGCTCAAACATGACAGCCTCTCCTCTTTCCCTCTATCCATTTAACTCTTGTTTGTCAAGTCTTTTGTCATCCCTGCTTCTTTAACGACAAGTTGACGGGTGCCTGACATGAAACAGAGGCTACATTCCTTACATAATCCTCCCTATGGCTACTGCAGTTCTGCATTAGTCAGTGCTGGAAATACTATCCACTTACGTAGACGGTGGTGGATATATTACCAAACAGTGGAAAGTGTATAATTGCATGTTGGGAGACAGAGACTCAAGTACATATAGCTGGGTATTCCCCCTTTTGATGAGCCTAAAGGCAACTCAAAATAGAGCACCACAATTCAAGACAGCAGGCTACTTAACCAAGATAGGATATTTCAAGTGGCATCAATGTGAAGCGGTGGCTTTATGATGGTGGCAGAAGCATAAATAATCGTTATAACTAGTCCGCTGTCATGTAGAGCTAGGGGTTGCGACCGTATTTAGAAAAGTTTTTACGAGCTTTACTTTTCCCCATCATTTCACTTTCTTTATTCATTACTTGATGATAAACGGTAATAAAGTATCTTACCTTTTGTTTGGAGCCTTCCTTCAAAGTGATCCAGTCCTCTCCATTGGAGCTGACGTCCACTTTGTAGGATTTGACAAAGTAAATTTTGTGCGTCTCCTGGGAAACGGCGCCCTGTGTACCTATGGCCGAGACGAACCGCAAGAACCCAAGGTCCACCTGTGGAGGGTGAAGAAAGAAGGACACGTAAGAAACACTGCTGAACATTTTCCAAAGGGGAAGACAAGACAACATTTTCTCTTTAAGTGTTTAGGAGAATGTTAAATGGGGGCCTATTATGCTTTTCTCCCACACATTACCCCCCAGGCTGAAACGCCTCGATTGTATTCCTTTGTTTACTTCCAAAACATAGTGACATCACTATGTTACATGTGCGCTTCTATTGGCTAGTGCTCCAACACATTGTCCGTGATTTTAAACATAATAGGGCCCCTTTAACTGGAGCACGTTCAGCTGGAATATAGACCCTAAATCATTTTAATAAAAAAGGGCTTTTAATGCATCGTGTGTATTAATAATGTAGTGACACGTTAGATATTTAAAAATAAAACCCCACAATTAAAATCACCTCTGGCCATACTCTGTTACCTGGAATTCAATAAACAGCAATGAAATGATATTCACATTAATGAAAGAGCCACAGGATGACGACTTAATTTCCTGAGATGGGAGACAAATGCTTATTGGATAAAAGTGAATGTTGAATAGAGCGAGGTCTGCTGCAATCACATTATCAAAATTGGCCAGGAGGAAAGAGAGATACAGATTGAATATCAAACGCTGTGCCTTCAAAATATGCAGGGCTTTATAAAGTAATCATGAACGGCTGTGCATTACTGGACGGCTATTGTACTCTCACAGGGAGAAAGCCAGAGGCGTTTGGGTCAGAGAGGCACGTGAGCCTGTGTCTGTTCTGTAGATTCACGTATATATTTGAATGTGTGTGTATGCTCATGCTGGGCAGAGAGAGTCACTGGTTTGCATCAGACCTGTGTCTGTCTGCCAACCATGAGCATCACTGCTAGTGAAGAGAGAAAACATGCACACACGGTCCTCTATATGTCACTCTGGCTTCTGTTACTGTGTTAAGAATAGCGTTTTGATGATGTTAACGTTTCCTAACTTTACTGAGACTTACAGGCAGCCTGGAGGGGAGGTCAGCTTTCCTTAGTTCTCGGGCACGCAAGGAATTTTTCAGCCACCAGTGATAACAAATGCTCTCCTTATGACCTCTGTGGTGTCTACTTAATCCCACCGTACAACCCCTTCATCCATAACGGAGGAGAAGGAGAGTAGTGTGAAACTGAAAGGCTTTAAAAAAAGATTGCTAACTCTTCAGTCTTGAAGCAGCACGCTTATTTTTTAACAAGCATGAACAGCGTCTCTGACAGGACGAGCTGACGTTAATAAGGAGTAATGGTGGTTCGTGCAGCCGCCGTCTTGAAACGTGGAATCGAGGCAGGAAGCAGCGTTGGAGCAGGTTTTTCCAGACCAGGATGAGAGAGACCCTTTGATGTTGGCGTGAGATGGAATGGTGAACAGAGTCTTGAGTAGATTACTGAGGAGATATTGGCTGTGTGCATGTGCAAGGATGTGTAAGAATGAACGAGAAAACCAAAGCCAGGGCGATCGGCGTTGAAAAGTCTCCATAGAACTCTGGCATGCTAAAAACCATACGTCTAGAGCCAGCTAGCATTGTCTGCCAACCTTATATACAGTATGAACCACACTTAATGACTTGACGCTAAAGAGCAGGAACGGAACATCTGCATGCCACAGAGCGCTGGTCATTCGTGCGCCTCAAATTCACTTCCATGAGTAAAAAATACATAAACAGATGGGAGTAATAAATGAGGTTCCACCATGCTATTCTCTCGCTCTCTCCTGGCTACTCGTAGGATTTGGATGGTTAGAGACTAACAAAAAAAACAGTCACATACAGAGACGGAATACTTTTGTTCCTGTCTGCTGGCTCAAGGGGCTTATACAGTAAGTCCAAGATTTATTTTGGGTCCACAAATAGAGACAAAATCAAATCCCATCAGCTTCAGACGGTTCTCATTTAATAACGCAGGAGCTAAATTCCTCTCCGCGGCCATATGTGCCAGCTCTGGATGAGGAAAGCATAGCGGATGGCAGCGAGGCCTGTGCCGGTGTTTATTAGCCCAGGCAGGTTTCTATAACATCTGTTTTCAAATAGCCAGCCTGACTCATTTACAATCTGGACCAATGGCCATGTGGCTTACTGAAAAGGCTTGCATAAAGAAAAAGTCTAATAGGAGGACTTGGCCTTGGGATTTTGCTCTGAAAAAGATCTCATTAGGAGTAATGGAGAAGAAGAGCCTCTGGGAATGAAATGAGTGGCGGGGCTAATTGGGAACACTCATTGGTGTTCAAACTCAAATAATTTCAGAACCTGAGCGTGCTGAAAAATGGGTTTGAAGAGGGTTGGAGTGATGTATGACTTTAATCAACATTCAGGGCCAGCTGGAAAGTTTTTTTTTGGTAAGTTTATGTACTTATTTAAAAGGGCATACATTGAATACAGTGAATTGGTTAGTTTTAACGAGTTTAAACACTTTTTGTGGTTTAATAATTTGAGGGTTCCAAGAACAGTAAAGATTCCTAAGCAAAAAAAAAGAAATCCTACTTTTCTGAAGATTTTTGGCACCAACGATCAGATTTAATGATAATGAAAATGTGCATAGATCAAAGTTGCATCAGATAAACTGTGACAGAAAGGGACATGAACTTTAAAGAGAGGAAAGGAGAAGGTTGCGAGAGGATACAAGCCGCTGACTGATGCCTTGCATGATGTGAAGGACAGAAGCATGGGGTCTCAAGTGAAGAAGCGCACACACTAGATCAATTTCACAGCAAGCGGGCTGATATCAGGGCCCGGGTAATGAGCAAAGCGTGATTTATTAATGGCTGCTTGTTAGCAACGGAACAACGAGGCCAACATGTGCTAACACAAGTGTCAGGGAGAGGAGCCTGGATGTAAAGCAAAGTCCATCCCACACCGCAGAGACTACACTGAAAACAAACCTAATGATACTGATTACTTGTGGGACTCCTTTTAGCCCAGAGCCACAGACAGCCCTACCTGACCTCTATGCATAAACCAATAACTAACATTTAGAAATGGCAAGCGGTGCACAGCGGATCTCAGGCAAATATATCACTCTTGGATGATAAACTATTTGTCATCGAGCCTTGAGAGGCTGAATCATGCTTAATGGGTGATGTAATCACTGAGAGGAAAGGTGTGAATTATGACTCCTAATCTAGCATCTATGGGGATGTGCTGCATTTTGAGACTTTGCTGATCCAACAGAAGAAAGCCTGTGTCTCCATGTTATTGTTTCTCCTATGAGAGTGAGTGTTTGGACTGAAGCCCACCTTATAGACAGATGACACCATGCATTCTGGGCATGCTGGTGCACTTATATCTGGAGGGCCACACACACGCACACACATTCTGAGCCATAAACATGCCAGGCAGGGTAAGAAATCACCCAGACTTCTCAGACTCTTTCCATAAAGCGACGACAGGCTGATATGTGGGCAGGGATTCTATGTGTCCTTGTCTCAAAGAGGTTTCTGCTGCTCCAGAATAGTCCAAAATATGTTTGACTCCTGTGTATGTTTTGGGTGTTCTCTACCTTCCTGTTGTGAGGCAAAGCGATGACTCAAACCTCACAACACTCATCGTACACAGCTCCAGTGGTTTCAGACACTAATGAAACCAGAGAGGCAGAAAAAGAATTAGTCGTGCACGGTCTTGTAACATCAGCCGTTTAAAGTCATACAATTAGATCCACATACTGAAATCCACATAATTGAAGCGTATTTATGTGTATAAGTGTGGGAATGACTCAACGCCAGAGAGACAGTTACGTGTTTACATGTTTGTACAAGTTGGAAGAGATCATTTTACAATTATCTCCCAACAGTTGTGGCAGCCGTGGGCGTGATCATTAGGCCTATCCGTTACTGTGTATTGTGTCTCTGCGGCATGACTCAGATCTGCAGCCAGCGAGTCCACATGACATTTATTTGAGGCTAAAGCCTAGTCATTGTTGTGTGGGTGCAGTGTGGAGACATGTGGTTTATAGGGTTGGGGAAGTAACAGCAAAGGCTCAAAAGCTTTATCTCTCACTGCTTGATTGGCTTATAATTGAGTTGCCAAGAAGTTGTATGCAGCAATCCGTACTCTGGGTGAAGTTTACCAAATACTTTCTTTTAAATCCATTTTTCTGCTTCCCCCAACACAGGGGAGGGGGGGGGGGGCTAGCTTCCCATCTGTGTGTGTGTGGGCTGCTGACTGAATAACCGAGGCCTCTAGGGAATGAGTTTATTCGTTTTCCCACTCCTAAAACAACAACAAGAGAAATGCAGAGAGTGAGGAAGAAGGGAGAGCTCCTAAAGTTAAAGAGCAGACATAGACAGCGGCCTGAAAAAACATCTGGACATTCTTTATGGATCTCAAAGGATCTTATAGTTAGAAGAAAGATGGCCTGGAATCATCAAGTACAAGCAGAGCCTCGAGTCACCTGTGTTTATAGGTTGTACAAAGCCTGATTATATTGTTTTTAGTTTGGTATGAGGATAAGGAAATATGTTCTAACACCCAGATGCAGTATTCTAAACTAACCACCAGCAATCATTTCACTTGTTTTACCTGCAGTCCTAAAATAGCTCTATTACCTGGAAGTGTAATTAATTCTCCTTTTGTGAAAATGGTATTACTCAAATGCTGCAGGACCTATGAGCTCCACTCACGACCTCCCATTTATCACAATATTCACCTGACATGATCACAGTTTATTTTTAGCCCCCGACACCTCTTTCGTGGCATTCAATTATGCATGTGTTCCCATGCGCCGATCATCTGTGTTCCAGACAAAGAGGGATGTGTAGGGCGTTAAACTGTTGTGAAATAAAAGGATTGTTGTGTGTGAAGTGCGCTCGTGTATAGGCTGTTGTACGATGAGGGTGATTAAACAGCTTTTAGAAGGGAGTCTTTAACAGGGTGGTTTTCATGGTTTCCTTTCCTCTGAATCATTTTTAAGACTCACTCCAGGGTCATTTCCCACCCTTGCAACAACACACATGACAGTGCTCTGAGTCACCGTTACGAAACTAAGAAACAGTGATAAGGAAGGAAAGGAGGGCGACCTAAAGGTATGTCATGTCTGGAAGCCGCATGATGATCCTTCCCCGGCCAGGATACACAGCTGCATATGACCGTTCAGTGATGACTCCATAGCTCTAAGGCTTTATTGTCTATAGTGCAGACACTGAAAATGACACTGATTACGGCTAAACTCTTCTCAGGGTACAAATGCAGCAGTTTTGTTTCATTACATCATGTCATCGCTCATGCTTCGATTTCTAGTCCTACTTTTGGGCTGCTTCACTCGAGTGTGTGTCTCTATCCTCTCATTGATTTTCCAATTGAGAGCGAGGCATGGGAGCATGGAGGCACAGACGGCGTCCATTGTTTCCATTTGTACGACGTGGTGATGATCTCACCGGCAGCCACATGCCAGCCTACGCTACTCAGCTCTTGCTAGACTTCCTCAACTGAGAAGCTGCTGTTAATTACAAGTCCATATTCTAATTACTCATCACTCGGCGCGGCAGTAAGCCCTGGAACGGGGACAGAAGTGAAGAGAGAGACAATCTCAACGAAGGGGGCATTTCTGCAACTCATTGACCTGGGGTAATTGGAAGCACATTCGGATGAATAGAAAAGCAGGATATGGCGCCGGTTTAGAGTCTGACGTTGCACTCGAGGCAGTGGAAAAGAAAAACGCCACTGTGGCCGAGGCCGTGTTTTCATGGAGGAAGTGTGTGATTAGTGGTTGGTCAGGCAGTGGAACTCAACCTGTTATCTTTGCTAAGTGGCCCTTGTTTCACCGTTGTTTGCCTTATGGAATTACACGGTCCCCCCTAAATGTTTTTTAGTCCAATGTAAATACATATTAGTCCAATGTAAATACATATGTTTCTATTTACCATATACAGAAGATAAAGGACCATATTGTGCAAACAAACACCGACATGTTTTCTCATGTTAGTGCTGTAATCTATCAGACAAGCAACATGAAAGCATTCCTCAAATGACACAAGTAAAGGGAACATCTCTTCTTATAGTTCAACAATAGAATCCATCATAGTCAGTCTGATACATACATAAATAACAAAGAGGTAATTAAGGGATAATGCATCCTGGCAAGAAGATTAAAGATAATGGCAGGAGGCTTTGCAGCTAAATTATAGATATGGAGAGCAAAATCAACTCAAGCTAGCATATGGGATAACGTACTGTACAGTATATTGCCATTATGAGGTTCTCAATAAAGAGGCTTTCAGGTATTGATGGTTGGTTTCTCTCCAAGACAGTTTAAATTATTCATGTTGTGTGTATGTGCGATCAATGCCTGCTGCCTGACGGACATAGTCTTGGGTTTTATTGCATCTTTCAGATGCTGGGGTGACTCGGTCAAGATATTTGACAAAGCCATTCCACTCTCGGTCAGCTTTTTGCAATTTCCCCTGTCACGGTTCACAACGAACTGTCAGTTTTCAGGCCATGACGCGACCAATACATTTTCCTTCAGCTCAAAGACAAATGTGTTATGTTATGGGGCATTCAGGTTTTCCTTGCGGAGCCAGTCTGAGTTCATAAAGTGAGGATCAGTCTATAAGCTGGATATTCTGGGGTTGTAGTGTCATTTATATTTTGCTGCTACCTGCTGCAGAGACCCCCGTCGTTCATCCTCTTAAGCTTCAAAGTCATGTCATGACTCACACAGGCAGATACTATGCAGAAAATCTCCTTCTTCCTCGATATAGATCTATGGACCTGAATTCTTTCAAGGCAAATGAGGAAGAAAGGAGTGAAAAGGAACAGGTCTGAAAGGAGCAAATGAAAGGAAGGTCCGTTTTGAAGGAATATTGCCTTTCTTTACTCCCTCCTCAAGCTGCAACCCCCCCTCAAAGGACATCTGTCCATCTCTGCGTACACCAAAGGAGCTGATTAATGGCCTGGCTAACCCAGCACTCAATGCTGAACCACACCACACCAATCTAATTACCCAGAGAAGAGCACACAGTCTCTAGCATCTTGCCCTCCTCTACTCCGTGCATTAGAATAAGGCAGCATTAAAATGGATGACAAATCTGGATTATGTTCAGCAAAAAAAGAAGGAAAGCAGAGTGAGGGAAAATGCCCAGGAAAGAAAAGGCAGCCTTTCATGAATAATAAAAAACGGTCTACCTCAAACTGCAGTCGGGGAATGATAATGAAATAAATAATGAATTGATTACTATGCATCTGACGACGCACTGATATGATTTGTACGTGCCGCGAGGGGGCCGGAGCTTGTTGTAGCACCACGGACAGGCTTAATGAAAGAGGAATGAAGAATTTTACTCTTTTAATACCACTTATGATAATTGGGCTTCAGTTCAGAGCGCTCGGGACAAGTGCATCGCACTCATTCGCAAAACATAAATTATGCGGCAACCACAGAATTGGCTGCTTTTGAAATTAGAAATAAGAGGAGCCCCATTCAGTGTTTTGATCTGATTAGTATTGGGAAATCAGCATGCCCATTAGAGCACATCCAGATTTTACAGCCAAATCAAATCCTCAATATGATCAATATTATAGCGGGTGGTCGGGGGGTTCTAAAGTGGCAACAAATCATTGTGATCACTTGTCATTTCTGCTGACAAAAAGGGAAATGGAGGAGCCTTCAGTGCTGTTACCATACTACACATATCTGACTGTGAACAATGGCTTTCCTTTCAGAGAGAAAAATACTTTAATACAACAGACTGTCCAACCGCTAGAGGAAGTGGTTAGGCAGGCTATGTTTCTTCCTGATCCACTCAGATGCATGCTGGGTTCCTCTGCAGGACAATATGGACCCGGCCAAACCCTCGTCCTTCACCACAGAGCCAAGAACGCACACACGGACACACACACCAACTCATGAGAAAATGCTCTCAAGCCCACACACATACATGCTCAAACAGTGATTCAATTAGTGTAAAGGAGCAACAGGGGCCTTCAGGACAATATTTTCATTGCAATAATAAAGGAAAAGCTTGCTTATGGCCCTCCCCGAGCAAATATTTGGCTTTGGGTCAGCTCTATTATTCATCCCTTGAGGAATATGTGGGGGCCAAACTTTTCAGCTGTGAAGCAAAGACCGTTGAAAAAAAAACAGTCTGGGCATTTACAAGGCCTGGAGGCTTTCGGTTAATAAATCAAACATGCTCCGACTGCAGCAAGGTAGTGCTGTTCTGTCACTGGGGGGTTTCTTCTGTGAGTGGACTTGGGATATGTGACTTATCCCCATCTGGGGATGGAAGAACTAAATCCTTAATCTTTCCACATAAAGTTCCCCCGGTGGGTGATGATCGCTTCGTACAGATAAGCCGACAGACAGAAAAATATGACAGAATCTGTTTTTGTGTGTGTGTGTGTGTGTGTGTGTGTGTGTGTGTGTGTGTGTGTGTGTGTGTGAGAGGCTGGGCAGGATGCCTGGACTAAATCCCAGCATCCCCTGAGGCGGCCACTGTTATCAAGGAAAGGGGAAGTTATCAGGTAGGACAGGAAGACAAAGGCAGAGAAAAGACACATACAGATAGGTAGACAGTGACAGAGAGAGTGGACACAGGCAATTTTTGTGAGGCGTGGACTCAACCACCCGGAGGTCCATAAGGACGGCTGACATTCATCATTGAAATTGGCGGGTCTGGCAGAAGTGTTATGGAGACACTGCACCTTCAGAGACCGAAGGACAAACAGCGAAAACTCATTCTGTGTTCAAGCAGGCAGTAGTCTTTTCCAATACTCAATATATCCTCAGACTGTGACTCACCTCCAAAAAACTGTGGGCAGTTGGCAAATTGTTTTATGGCTTTAGATTTTTCCTACCTCTCCTCTGGAACCCAATGTCATTTTCTGTGATTTGAATCAAGTGTCCCAAATACAAATCTCTGTGGCATGAGAAATAATATTGTACCTGTATCCACTCTTTGTTCGAGTCCTCTGCCGGAGTCCATGCATTTTCATAGTAGTTGAGTCTGGAGCGCTCTGGGGACCAGCTGGGGTTGTACTGCGACGAGGCCATGATTTGGTCCGATGTGATCTCTCCTGATTCCATCCCCAAAGGGTCGCTACAGTCAAAGTCTGAGGGGAATGAAAGAGGAAAACATGTGAATCCTGAGCACTGAAAGCACCAGAATGTACCCAGCATGAGCTTTCAGTGTCCCCTAGATTCAGAGCTCGTCTCTGGGGAGAAGGACACCACACGACAGGCACTCAGCGCTGCTTGCCGGAAAAAGAACTACACATCAGCGACGCCTCAGTAAATCCTTTTCTGTTTCTCCCTCTTTAGTTTCTAATGGAGGGCGAATGGAAGCGTTTCACATCAAGACGTAAAAATGTCTTCATAAAACATTCAGTGTGGGCTAAGATTACTCCAGTATTAGGCGTTAAAGTGACTTTCACTCCAGTTGTTTCTTCCACTGACTGGATCTGTTTCCCTCACCTCCCTATGGGCAGTTTATCGTTTTTGCACACACTGACTATTTTTCCCATCTCGGTCTCTTGGGGGAGTTTAGGTGTGCTTAAATTTGTATTCTGGGGTCATATATTATACTCAATAGCCCAACCAACCATGGTAGGAGGTGGCTTTCCCTGTTTGTGTTGACATGGGGCAGCCGCTTTGGCTCCGGGACTAAAGACTCAGCTGGGTCAGCTTGGGGCCGGACTCTCTAACCCCTGGAGGTCAGACAAACTGACACCGCTGCAGTAACGGTTGAAACAAACGTTGACCTTTTTATCTGGGTAGGAGTCGTTTAGCGTCACTACAACAACAACAACAACAACAACAACAACACAGAGGCATGTGGAGACACACTTTCACACATTCATGTGGGCCATCATTATTTCCTTTTTTAATTTACTTATTTATCTTCTGATGGTGAAGTTGGTCTTTGCTTCTCTAAACGCAAGGCTTCTTCAGCCACATGGTGCATTGCCCTAAAACGCAGTCATGTGCTTGTGTGTACATGGCCCATACAACAGGACGAGGAGGTGCTATGTGGCTGCAGCCTGTGAGCTAACACAGATGGTCTCTCCATCTGCCATGATACAAACACACCTCCGTCTCCGGGTCAGCGTGTGCTTTACAGTGTCAACGCACATATGTACGTGCATGCTAACGCGCGCGAGTCTCAGTGTGATGCTTAGAACAATGTCTCGCACCTCTTCGCCCCCATCGTCAGCTGATGCTCATACTTGTCAAAGTTTTGCACTCAGACCCACATCACTTAGATAACTGGATGATGATCGACAAACACACAAAGAGATATTTTTTGGGTGCGGTATCTGATCATGTTGGTTACCGACCAAAGCAGGGCTGATAGCTGAGAAGATATAGCTGAGAAGATAGGGAGGGCTGCTGAATGGCTTGGGAGGGTGTTTGGAGGGAAGGGGTAAAACAGAAGACAAGGCCTCCTTTCATCACCTTATCACATCACATCAGCAGCTTTCTGCTTGAGTGTACCCTTCCCCTTGCTTTGCGGAGGCGAGAAAATCCACCGTGTATTATGCATGAGGGGATTATGAATGATTCAAGTGGTACAATTCTGGAAGAGCGCAGACCCAGTTTGGATTTTGGAAACGTCTTGGTCGGTGATGTAAGACTAAGCAACTCATGTAAAGGGTATTTACTGATCACGGGTCAGATAGTTCACCCTGCATCTTAATGGTGAATGTGAAAAGTTGATTAGCGCAATCTGATATAAAATGTGTGATTAAAGAGAGTCAAGTTACTTGGAAGAAACTTGGGAGGAATTACATCATTGGTGTGTGTGTGTGTGTGTGTGTGTGTGTGTGTGTGTGTGTGTGTGTGTGTGTGTGTGTGTGTGTGTGTGTGTGTGTGTGTGTGTGTGTGTGCGTGTGAGTCAGTTAACTCAGCGCCTGTCTTCCCTCTGGCAAGACAAAATCCTTTTTGGAGACGATCAGTAGATTTTGTTGAAAGTTATCCATCTTTATTACTTTTCAAAGACTGGCTGTGTGTGTTTGAGGAGGTCTGGCCTCTGGACAGATTTATGACTGCTACCAGCGCTTGTCTTCCTTAATGAAATGTTTTGTTGGAGCATTTTGCAAAATGGGGTCGGGGGGTCGAGCCCAGGGATGACGATGCTGCATGTCAAAGCCCTAGGGATGTGTTCCGGGGATAGTTACTGGTGGGGAAGCTGCCATTTGCAGTCTGTCTGGGCTCACAGTGTGTAAACGTAGGCCTTGTAAACCATGGGTGGTAGACTTGTACCCTACATTACCCAAATGAAGAAGCAGTAGGTGTTTATTTAATTAACTCCTCAGCTCTGTTAAACTTGTGGGAATTTATCATAATATGACCATGTGTGGCTTCGGTTGCAGACATCTGCTTCTTACTTTTAGTACTACTCCTCAGGGGGCAACTTTATTATCCTCTAATTCTTATGCAACTCAGTTATAATCCACTCTAACACAATGCAGATGGTCTTCTATTGAACACATCTTTCTGGATTGTGATTTATAAACAGATCTGTAAAGTGTTCAGTGTTGTTATGCCAGCTTACCCTCTGGAACGGTTCTTTCGATGACAGTGAAGTTTGCCGAAAAGCCTTCCTTAGCGATGGCGCTGTCAGTGTTGATTGTTAGTGCCAGGATGCCTGTGTAGGAGATGATCCTGCCTGGGGTGTTCTGCCCACAGTATCTCCCAACATATGGACCGACTGGAGAAAGAAGAAGAGAAAAGCACAAACATTGTTACACTAGTTAAACTGGGGTTAACTCAATATTTGTTTGTGTGCCAAAGCCAGGTCACACATTGGTTTAACTACCAAGCCCCCCAAGGAAGTGTGAAAACTAGTGTGTCAGTGTGGTATTACACCGGCTGCATTTTTGTACCCGACCCCATAAAGACGCTTGAGAAAAGACTCCCAACATTCCTGCTTGCCACAAAAAGGGCAAAGCGGAAGAGGGACCTGTGGTGTGGGCAGGTCACGGTCTCTGTCTATTTGCTGGCTGTAAATACCGTCACCCTTTTTTTTCTCCGTCTTGAAGCGGACACAGCTTTGGCTGAGTGAGTTTTATAAAGGAGACTGCGTCGAGACAATAGGGGAACATTAAAGGGAGCAATAAAAGCCCATGTTTCACTGAGCAGACTGAGAAAAAGGAAGTGTGAGGGAAACGGGAGGTAGAAGGAGGAGGCAGAGAAATATGGAGAAAGAGCAAGAGAGCACAATGACCTTGTCCTATGCCTGTGATGTGTGCACATTTGTGAGTGTGTGTTCCAGTTGGTGTGTAGGGACCTGGAGCTTATCTGTGATTAGTAATGCTGTGATCAGTGGCGAGTGACAGTCCTGCCTCCCTGTGGCCTCCTGTCATCCAAAACATGCCACTCTCTCAGCTACATGAAAGGCAAAGGCCAGACCACGGGGACTCCAGGGGCAGAGGTGGGCAGGCTCCGATTAATCTTCCAGGCCTGGTGCATGTTCGTGAGAATCTATGTGTGCTTTTAAACCTGCAAAGGCCTGGGCTGAACATAAAAATGCCATCTCCCGGATTATCTGCATGACTCCACAGCGCTATGAAATATTAAAGAGCCTCGCTGTGAAGTCTGCATCCTGCCTGCCTCTCCGTTCCTTAGGGAAGAGGGACGAAGGGAGTGGAAGTTGTTCTTCCACAGCACCTGTCCAGCGAGGTGTAATCCCAGTGCTTCACACAGGCCTGCACGGACATCTCCCATCGCGACGGCTAGCATGCCTCTAGCCCTAATGCACTATTGATCCACCAGGCACCACAGGAGCCACCTGGCAGAAGCCCACACACTATTTCTTCACATGGCTTATTTTTATACAAGGTTGTCTGTCACATTCAGAAACACTCGAAGGGTGTGATGCCACATCATTGCGAAGTGGTAGAGTCCATTTTCTGCCCTGAATAGTCTATTCAGCTCTGCAGTTGGAAAAAAGGGTCTTGTGCGTATTCTTTTTTGTCATTCATTCTACTGAGAAATAACTGAGGAATCGCTGAATCTTAATAAGTCGGAAGCACATAATGTTTCTATTTCACATCCCTTGAAGTACTTTTTGGTTAAAATATGTATTAAAAGGTGATAATAATGTGACATTTTCTCAGCTCTCCAAGCCTTTCACTAATCAACACAAATCTTGAAAATTAAACAAGTCCCACCTCAGGGAGAGAACACTAAATGAGCAGGAATACTTTGTGGAATCAAAAGTTCGACCAAGCACAGTTCAAATTTACCGAGATGTGAGCTGAGAGAATATTGAACTTCAAGTAAACTCACTTGAAAAGGTGCTGATTTTTACCCATCAACCTTATCACTTGGACCACTATAGCAGAGACTACTTCAGCCACTGATGGGTGAGAAAAGCTTTCATCTTGTTCACCCTGTGTTAAAATAGCCAGAAGAAAAACCAAAAACTTCAAGAGGTGAATTTTGCTCACTGAGTTCAAAGCCTCATCTCTGGCCATTTCGGAATTGCTTTGATCACTCCGTCTCTCACCTGTTGATTTTTAAGATGGTTTTGAGAATGCTATTTTATGGCAATATTTAATAGTCGTCTGAATCTTTTTGATTGCTGTGGGATTTTGCAAGGAGGAGATGTTGGATCTTGTTAAGACCAAACATGGTTCAGTTCAAATTCTCCTTGTGGGAAAGACAAGGAAACCTCAAGGAAATTCCAAGTCATTTCCCTACAAGATTGAATTTTCTTTTTTATACTTCAGAGAAGCAACCTAAATACCATGGCCTAGATTTTTACTGAACTCCCCAATGCACAATCAATGCGGCCTTTTACAGAAAAAGGAAATGTGTCAGGCTTGCGCAAACAGGAAGGGTTTTCGTTGAGCGATGACAAAGTGTTTCACTCATGCCGACAGATACTTGGACCGGTGACAAGTCTGGTTGAGGCAGTAAGTCCACTGGCACGGATAATACCACTATTTTGTGTAAAGGTGTTTATTTCTTCTGAAAGAGCATTGAGACCCACCTTCTCCCTTTTCCATCACAGGAAAGCAGATTTCTAAGCAGTGGCTTTATATACTTTTGTTTTCAAATGTTGCTATAGGTTAAGAAATGAGAAAGCAAGTAACAGTATCAAAGAGTCACTTTTAGTTTTTATATTAATCAGCCATTCTTGCTTACCTCCAGGGAATCCATCCCAGATCTCCAGTCTGTCATAGCGGCAGAAAACACCAGTAGGGGGCGTCGGGTCGGGCTCCAGCTCGAAACTCTCAAACTCCAGAATGATCTCAGACATCTTGGGGGCGAAGATCATGAAAGTGCAGTCCAGGTTGTTCGGATATTTCTCCGGGAAACCAGGTGACTTTATGACACCGCTGTTGGAGGTGAAGTTCCTGGAGCATTCGGGACCTGCAGGGAGGAAACCAGATGGGAAGTGAGAAGATGAGACGAACCATTGACAAAGGAAAGGGTGGGGATGATTCTTTTGAAAGACTGTTGGTTAAGTGATCTGTTTGGGGTTCCTTTGTGTGGTGGGTATTAAGGAACTCTGCCTCCCAGCTGTTCTATTGATTGAAGGACAGTTTACCGCCTTGAGGCTGGAGACCACCTTGATAGTTCTTCTATTCACCAGAGGTACATCTGGGTTTCTCAACCGTCCTCCGTGTGGTTTTGTGCCTTTTTTTTGTTTCCTCATGGGCACCAACATCACTCTACTTTATCACTGTGTGTGTTAAATCTGGAACATCTGGACTGTGAGAGGAAACATCAGTAAAATAACTCAATCCTCAGAATCGGGGAGAGATGGATTAACAACTTTATATGTGCGAAAGCCTGTCACACACACCCTCATTAGCTCATGTCTGTGAGACATATGACACTCAGGCAAAAACTACAGTCAGTGATAAAAATAAAGGGCAATGACTGTTCATACATCAACACACAGATGGAATCTTGAATACATTTATAGACAAGGGAAAATATGTATTCACAAGGCTCCCCAGAGCCTTAACTGCCTTTTCAGCTGATGAGCCTTAACACATTCTCAATATTAGTCATTTCTCAGAGCACCATGAGCACAAGATTATGATTTAAGAATGACTGACATGCGATTTAAAAAATGACGCTTACAGCTGCAGGACATTTTTTAAGAGTGATAGGAAGAGATATTAAAACATATTTACTATGCACGCTCAAGCACTGGGCCAGATTGTATCCAAGCCTGGCTTCACACGACCACACACACAACTCAGGAAAAAACAGGACTCCTGTCATTCAGGGCAATTATTTAGAGCCATTAGTGGCAGAAATGTGCACAGGGTAATGTCATTTTCATGATAGTCTGACAGCCGGCGTGATGGGCGCAGATGGAGCCGATCGAAACCAAAATTGCAGGGAGTTCTGGCTAGATAGAGCCTCCGTGCTACAGTCATTGTAGCTTAAATAAATGTGGCAAACTGCTTTTTCCACTGTCACTCAAGCTGCTCGCTGGGCCTCTAATTCAGAACCATCAGTCCCACTTCAGCCTGTCCACCAATGGAGTGAGTGAAGGGGACTGAGAGCCATGTTGATTTTCTCTCCCCCCAAGTTGAAAGCCACGGCAAGCGGCATTTTGCCTCTAAGGAGAGCTGACATTTAGTGCTGCTGCTAAAGTGTGGCTTTCAAGAACAGTGGGCACCATTAATTTCACAGCTTCCCTTCGTATTTACCTCCGGAAAATTGAGAGCTTTTGTCCAGATAGAGCCGTTTGCCGAGATGAGAGGGTTGCTGGATGCTGCAGGTCTGCACAGTTCGGCGTATTTGTAGAGAAATGTCAGACAGTTTTGGGGGAAAAAACTGTAGATACTAGCCACTTCTTTGGAAAAAGGCGCCCATGAGTCCCTGTGTGCTGTAGACAGCTGCAGTAACCAAAGTGCAATTCAGGTCAGTTTGTTGAATTTCCTGTGGATATTGGCTCAAAACTCCACTCTCAATCTATTTCATCAGCCTCCACCGTGACCCTTGTCTCAGCTCAGCAGTTCACCAGAACAGATTTAGTCTTTGGGAATGTTTCAGTCAGAAAATCCAAACTGTAGCAAATTAAACACCATTTTTTGTCTGTATTTACTTATTTAAAAATGACACTTCTTTTTATATTTGTTATGACATTTTGTGTATGGATTTAATGGTACTTATTTCCAGCTAACTTACACTTTTTACCATCACCATTATGTACTGAGTCTGTGCTTTTTCTTGAATTATCATGACTGAGGCGGACTCAAACTCCACTATTGTCAGCTTTTGTGTTGCGGAACATGTTTAGACCCCCTCAAGGAAAAGGACGGAGTGAAGACATCACAAACAAAACAGTCTGGCGAGAGAAAACTGAGCGCTCTGGTCGGTCCCACCGGCGTGATAGTCATCCAACAGATCTCTTTTATCTACTGTCTCCACATGGGAGGGCTTCTGTCCCTGCCCCCCCCCCCCCCCCCCCTCGCTACATCCAGGATGCTTTGTGCTGATGCGTCAGAGGCATTCAGTGATAGCAGTCACACTTTCCTGTGGCAGCGTCCTTACTTACAGTGCATGCATGCGTGCAGTCAAAGAGCTTCAGGAGAAAAGCTAATCTTGTTGTCAGCCACATGCTAACTATCACCATCGGTTGTTGGTGTGTTTCATGGCAGATTTATCGCCTCAATAGGAGGACACAGAAATGTGTTTGTAAATAATAAGAGTTTTAACTCAAGTAAGGCTGCCATGCTTCAATTTTATCTGAGATCTAATCGTGTGGCAACAGTTCACCCAGTATACTAACCACTGCTTACAAACAAACAGCTGAATTTACGACAGGAAGAGAGTAAAAAGAAGCAACCTTGAACGCACCCAACATTTACCGGCAACCTCCGACCAGGGGCTCAAACATTTACAGCCGGCAGTAATGGATTCCTTTAACTCTCGTTTACATTGAGCATGTGGACGGGGGAGGAAACTAATGTCACTTTGACTTTCTCCCTGAGTGATGAGAGTTTGCTTAAAAGGACGATTTGTCGGAGAAAAATGATATTTAATGGAGATCTGATTTCAATCTTTGCAAGTGTTAGAGATCGATATAAATCTTAAATAAATAAGGCCTCAACGCGAAGGGAGCCTTTCGACTGTTATTCTCCCTGATGACTTGTCCGTTATGTTTCTATTAAGCTGTTGCTTTAAGTGCTGAAAGCAGACCGGAGACTGGGCGTTAATCATTAGAACAACATTGCGCCAAGGAACAGGCGTTAAGTGTGACAGCCACTTGCTATTTTCATTTTTAAATCTGTCTGTCTCTCTTGCTTTTCTCCATTTTGTTTCCATTCATTCATCTCCCACCCTCCTTCGTATGGTTTATTAGAGGCCAGAGCCATAGGGGCTGGAGGTGTTGTTCTTGGACTGCTAGGTAAATCACCACTGTTTATGTTCAATGTTGCTCTCCGGCTGATCATTAGCCCAGTTCACAGCCCCCCACCCCCTTTACTGCCCCCTCTGCTCTCGTACCCTCCCTCCCCTTCGCTCTGTCTTTATGCCACACGTACAGAGGGGTTAATTGTCGGTGGAGAATTAACTCTGTTTCAACACTAAATCAAACATTAACCTGAAGCCTGTGGAGTGTCAGTCATTGAAACAGATGGAAAGGCCGGTTTACATTTACCTACACACACTCCCTGAGGCACCACAATACTGACATGGCATTAAGCGGTGTGACGTTGCTTTAGGGGATGACGAAGTGCTAATGGGATGGGTCGGGGGGGTTGGCACAGTCCCCCTCTGGCTCCCCTTTAAAGAGATTTGTTGTCTTAGGTTTCCATGCGTGTGTGTGTGAGATGACAGTACGTCTCCATGCCAGATGTGACCTATGTCATCATGGCGTGCCATCCATGAAAGCAGAACGTGCCTCCTGTTAGGCCCCATCATTGAAAGTGTTTTCACAGGAGTGTACAAACGCTAAAAGCGCCCGCATCCCAGTCACATGATAAATAAGGCAGTTCTGTGAAAATATGTTTTTTTTCGGTGTAAAGGCAACCGTTATGGGCCTCCGTCCAATACACTTAGTCACTCTGCTGAGTAATGGAGAGGGGACCGAGATGAGTTTGTGTGTGTGTATGTGAGGTGTGTGGGGGAGGGGGCTACAACTGGCACTATCTCTGCTTCTGCACCCACTTCAATGGGCCCTCAGCCAGCATTGATGTGGCTCTAAGCTTACTGAGAGCTGTTAAAAGAGAACATATGTTGTGCATGTGTGCGCATGTGTACTTAAAAAGACGGATCTTTCCAGAAACGCATGACGATTTTAAGTGCGATACTGTCTTTCAGTCTTCTACAAAAGGACCACGATAGTGGTGTATGGTGAACCCAACTCCTTTTGATTACTGTGTTTCATAATGGCGGTTGTTTATCAAGTCAAGCCCAACTTTTTTATATTATTAAGGCCAACTCCCTCCCAAAAGACATAACAAACACAACCATGTTGCAAGTCTTTAATCTCCCTTTAACTCAAATATTCCTCACTCCCAGATTTATCCCTCTCCTCCCTATCTCCCTCTCCCCCGCCAACTCGCTCTACCCGTCTCTCGCCAGACTTCAGCCAATGGAGCGAGGCTGCCAATTTGCAGGCTATAAAATAAATTGCCCATGCTAATTAAGATGGTTGGATGGGATCGAGGAGTGGAGAGGGGTAGAGACTGATGTGGAAGCGGCCATAGAGAGCCGCAAAACAACCTGTTCTCTTCCAATTAGACACTTCGCAGGCTACTGTCGATGAAAACCAGGGCTGCAAACGCCAGCATGTTGAAGTGTGTGTGTGAGAGTGTATTTACATAGTTTATAGCTTAAGTGGGTAGACTTGCACATGTAAACATACTTGTATAAGTTGACGTAGGCTCCCTGAGGGCAGTATGTGTTTACATACGTTTGCTTTGTGGGTATATATATCTTCCATTTGACCTTTGCTTGTATGCAACAGCAGAAGAAAGGCAGTACCAGCCCCTGAGGTTGACTTCCAGTGATCTCCGCGCCTATATAATCACAATGATAAACAGCCTGCATTCTTTGCATTTCTCCTCATTGGCATGCACAAGTGTGAGCCTCCCATTCCTCCAGCCGTTATCAGAGCATCTGTGTATCATCATCAACGTTACATGTGTTAGCCAACACAATGTTTTCCCAGCTAATACCCTGCTTGTTGATAAGCTGTGCTAATCATCTAACTTTGAATCTCTCTTTCTGCATGGTTCTCTCTCTCACTCGCTCTCGTCAAAGGGGCTGTTAATTGATCTCAGAGCCCCGTTCTTGGCGGCAGCCAGCGCAGCAGTAGACAAAACACAAAGTAAACTCAAAGCATAACAAGGGTCTGGATCCACCAAGGGAGCAACGCACACCCATGGTGCTCCTCTCCGCCTGAGTTTAATCTACAGCAACACCTCTGAAGCCCTAATTTCCCCCAGCCCTAAACTCCCTATTTGATTCAAAAAGCAAAAAAGTTCCTATATAGTGCCAAAAAAATAAGTCCACACTAATATCCATATTTCCTCATATCTCAGTGTCAATCCCTTACACAACTGGGTCATTCACACGCCTCATTTATAATCAGTGTTGGCTAACAGATGAGATTGGGAAATTCCATGTTTATCATGGGAAGAATAGAGTAGATTAACTGGCCTATGGAGGGCAATGAGGGAGTGTGTACAGATGAGTTTGCGTATGTCTGGGTGGAGTGGCGCTTTGATCTCGTAAATGGAGCCACACTCCACCGGCTGCTCTGCTGTGATGGTGACACGCACATGCCCGGACACACAAACACGAGCACAACCACACACTAGTCCAGATTAAAAGGGAAGGGAGGACATTCATCATGTCTCAGAGGTCACGGGGGGCCGTCCCATAGACTGCTGCTAAGGTTAATTAATGAAAGTGGAGTCTGTCGCACCTGTCTGCCTACAAGTCACTCTCCAGATATGTGCTGTCCTCCTCCTCCGCCTCCTCCTCTGCCTTCCAGTCCAAACAAAGGAAGGCAGCCAACCAACAGGAAATCCTTCCTCCTGGAGTGTTGTATTCTGATAAGATGGACATCCCCTGAGGATATCTGCGGTTTATCATACATGTCTCCCCCACTAAAATTACCCAGAGGACTTATTTACATTAAGGAAGGAACCTCAGACTGATTGGATACCACTGCAGGGAAAGCACTTCCTTCTGTGGCTTGAATTCACTTTCTCCACGACCAACTCATCAGTGGTTATAATTGCGGGTTTATACACTTGCTGTGGATTGCCATCTGACAATAAACCAACACTTGAAAATAACATTTGTTGAGTCAATGCTTAGCTAATTATGCCCCTGCTTATTGTACAATAATTCACAGCAGATAAAAACTGCTACAATTATGGAACATATGGGACTGTGATTCATTAGTTTTTGAATGGAGCATATTGCTTGCCATATTGCGATTGCATAATTTGATGCTCTGGTGCCTTGACTGAATCACAAATAAACCATGAAACTACACACATTGAAATGACTTATGATGTGCATTGTCATCCCTTTGTCTCTATATTTTTTATGTAAGTAAGGTAATATTTCAAATAGTTGGATGAAGTGAAGCTGCAGCTGTGTTAGGCCACCCACCTGTCTTAAAGATCTCATATCGGATGGAGAAACCGGCTCCGTGCGTCTCGTAGTCAGACACAAACTTGATGAAAAGCTGGTTTCCGGAAGAGACGACCGGAGAGGGAGCGATCTTCCCGCAGTACTTCCCCACGAGTTGACCGCTCTCGTCCACACCATCCCGCACCTCCACATAATCATACCTGAAGGCAAGGGAAAGGGGAAACTGTTATTCACAATGATCTTTAGAAAACCATTTCCCTCAGGGTTAGTTTTCATTTAGTTCTGTTCTTGCTCCGTTCCTGTATATTGGATTTGTGCGAAATCCATTTATCACTGTTATTAGGCTCATGTTGTGCATGTATGAAGACACGCACACACACACACACACACACATTGACATAAACACACAAAATGTCATACTCAGAGGACCCTATAAACAAGGAGCAACACAGCATATTGCGCAGGTAATGTAGCGGAAATAAAACACTGTGTACTAATGAGGTCTCAGGTTAAAACTCGGAGAACAGGTGGGCGGGATATGCTTTCATTATATCAACCTGGCACAAACACACACACTGCAGAGGTGGTGTGATCCTCCCAGCAGCACTGAGGTCAGGTTTACGTAATTGCTATGACTACGCTGAACAGTTGTCTTTCTCCTGTTTCTCCTCGTGAGATAACACTCAGGGTGTGTGTGTGTGTGTGTGTGTGTGTGTGTGTGTGTGTGTGTGTGTGTGTGTGTGTGTGTGTGTGTGTGTGTGTGTGTGTGTGTGTGTGTGTGTGTGTGTGTGCCTCTTGAATGAGAGAAAATGGGAATTGAAAGTGATTATATCGTGGCCTTTGGCTTAGGCTGGTGCATAGCAAGAGAAGGTGTTAACGCTGTTCAACACACACCTACACAAACATCACAGTCAAATGGAATTTCAGACCCAGGGCTATTGAAGGGAGCAGCCGCTTAATAGAGTCGGAGTATAGGAGTAGATGAGGAAAACAGGTTTGAAATATAACAGGGAACAGGAGCTATAAGACACACACACACACACACACACACACACACACACACACACACACACACACACACACACACACACACACACACACACACACACACACACACACACACACACACGGAATCTGGCATGCGTAACCTAAGTGGGTAGAGAAGAAATTAGAGTGACTGGCCTATGAGGGTGGTCGTAACGGCCTCTAGCTTTCAGTTTTTATGTGGAGGGCACTTTAAGTTGTTTTCACACTTGTGCACTGTATATCTGGTGTGTAAGTTTGCATGATGGTTCCGATGATTTTCCATTCTGTGTTTTGACTGTGAGTGACGAGCTCCTAAAGCAGATTTGGGTTCAGGTTTCCACAGTTTCTTATTGGCCGTAACGCACGTTCCTGCCAAGTTTTGTCAGCTCTGCAGGCCACTTATCAAGCAAATACTCCTGCCCAAACCCTGCTGCTCCTTGCTGTGGCGGTCCTCAGTGTTCATCAGCAACCAAGTGAAATAAATGCTATTCACACAGTGAATACAGAAATTAATTATAACGTGTGTCAGTGTAATACGCTGCAGGTGTGCGGGCATTTCTCCTCCTCCTTTCAGCAGAAAATATGTGCCTCCTGGGCAAAAGAGGCCTATTTCCATAGTTTAGCTTGAATCCAAAATTACTGTCAAAACATCACGTCTCCTTAGTGATTCTGAATTCACTTAATGCACAGGATTTTGCACAAAAAGGCCATTTACACTTTGAATGATAGCTCTGGGTGGGCCAAATCCCTCAGGTGGGGCCGTACGTATCCACACGCAACCTTTGCCACCTTTTTCAACAAAAATGGTTTCTTTGAATGGCTCTAGTTTAAAAAAATATATTTGTAAAGCAAAAATCAGGTTACCAGAGGTGATTCAGGGAAGGGGTTTCGGCTGGGGTTTTATACTTGATTGAAAAAGTAAGGAGTCAGCTATTGAGAAAAAAAGGACAGAGTGTAACTAATTGTAGAGCTGGACAGAAGTGGCACTTCTTGAAATGGTGTCCCCCGAGGTGGTGCACAGGATGGATGACTTCACTCTTCTTTCTGCTCGGACGGAGTGATCTGAGGTGATATGGAGCTGTCAACATGCATCAAGTGCCTCCTCATCTTCATCTTCGCTTTATAAGATTTTTAGTGACTCCGGGTTAAAGGCAATATGTGTATATATATGTATGTATATATGTGGCAAGAAGGCTGCTGTCTGTCTATAAAACCAATGACTGCCATTTGCTCTCAAAACATTTTACAATTCATCCTACAGTCATTCTACAATCAAAAATCTCACCAAAAAGTGTCCCGAAAAGATCTGGTTTCGTGCACTTTGGCTCTTCATACGTCTTGAAATATTTTGGTTGTTTGGCCTCTGTTTATTTCTCCATATTGGGATCTTATTGGTCTTCTTTTCTCAAGCTGTTGCAACAGCCCGGCTCGGCTTACACAATTACCACTTTGTTTCAGGCACTCTATCAGCTGCAGCACAATAAAAAAAAATGTTATTCCCCCCTGCACTTTGCGGTTAAATGGACAGGGAGTTACTCATTATTAAGGGCTCCGCTGAATAGGGCATTGGGTTTCTTTTTGCTGTTACAATGTCACCTGTGTAGTTTAGTCAGCAGGACTGATATTTTATGAATTGAAAGATACAAGACCAATCCTTTTGTAGTAATTTCTCCAATTTCTCAGCCTCCTGATTCCTCTCCTCACCATCTTTTTGGTTCCCAGCTCGCAGCAGAGAGCATCAATCTTTCTGTAGCCCTGTTCTGTTCTATCGGCAGACTTATAATTCACCTCGGAGCCTCTGTTTCTGCAGCTATCCCCCCCCCCCACCTCGCTGCACCCAGCAACTGCCAAAAGCTCTGCACTGCCAGGCGCCTAAAAAATTGATGCTGAGATGCATCATTGAGTTGAAAAAGGAGAGAAGAGAACAGCAGAAGGAGCTGAGCAAGTGCTTCTGCAGTTTTGTTGCTTGTATAAACGTATGCATGACATATGTACAAACATACAGAACATGATGCATAATGTAGAGGATAGTATGATTTGAATTGTGTGCACATGGACAGATGGGCAGGCAACCAATGTTTTCATATCGCCTGTTTCACAATCTCCTTAGTCTATATCCAAACAAGACGGATACTCTTATCTTCTTTTATATTTGGACTCCTCACACCTCCAGAAAAGCTGTTTATTGCATTTTTTCCCTGGCGCTTCATCAGCTCGGATTGCCCTCATAAAGGCAGCACAGTGGGAGAGAGGATGCACATAGAAGAGAGAATACGCCCTGGGGGTTCGCGCTGTGCTCTGTGCGCGGGGAAAGTGAGAAAGGGACCTCCTTCTCCAAAATCTATTTGTGCCTAAATAACTGTATGAGCCAGAGCTGGAGTGGTCCTGCGCCAGTGGGCCTGCACACTTAGCTCTGCTAACACAGATCCATCCAGGCCCTTATCATCTGGAAGACATTAAGGCAAACGCTTGATGGGGCAGTTTGAGCTCTGAAAAGGCTCTCCTGTTGCCCGCTGTGTAAAAGTAGCTCTAATCCAGTGCTCTAAACACCTGTGGGGATCGCTCCCAGGGTTGGAATCCTTAGGGAAGATGGGGGGCGGTTAACAACATCTATTTATGATCATAAAAGAAGAACATGGCCTACTTTTAAGCCCCATATGGTTCCACACAAGTGGGGTCCTCCTGACCTTCCAATTTAAATTCCAATTTTTTTTATCTTGTCTCACTCCTGTTGTTGTTCTTTTTATTCCTCATGGCAGTACAATTCAGTTGAGCCATGCACCTATTTATCTGTCTAGGCTGCTTTGGGTCTGGGTGGGCCTGCAAGCACGCCACAACAAACACACATAAAATCACACACACACACACACACACACACACACACACACACACACACACACACACACACACTGTGAGCTGCCTACCACAGTGCTAATAGTGAAAATGGTTTGCCAATCCAGTTGGGAAATTAAAGAGAAAAAGGAGAGGGTTGGGTGGGTAAGGGGGGAGTGAATGTAATTCTCAACGACCTTCGCTTCACGGACTCAAATGTATTAGCCTGCCTTCTTTCTTCAGGCACAGAGAGAAAGCAATCCGCTAGTGTCAAACGAGAACATTAGCCCTCCTTGCAAAGCCAAAGAGAAGGCGACAAACCAGCGGCCTTACAATATAACGGTTATATTGCCTGAAGCTTTCCCATGGAAACAATCTGTCCTCCCTCTATAAATGTCTGCTTGATATGGTTCTATAAAGGCAATACAATCCGAGGCAATGGAATAACGCTATGACAGACTGGATAAGCCTTGTACAATTGGTTAGATTTCTTAATCAGACAATTTATAAGCTCAAGCATGCTGTGGAAACCCCCAGAACAAGAGCTCTTTCTTTGCCATTACTCCCTTTGGTTCAGCCGAGTATAGAACAAATGCCCTGCACTTTACTCTGGCATTTCTCTTTCTGCGGCTGTCACAGTATAACTTGCTATCGCACGAAAACATGTCACCTACAACATGTCAAAACATCCCTGGGTAACACAAGTGGGGAGGCCCAAACAACAGACTTGGGACAGCTCAGTGAGGCCCAGGGGGGTTAGCAGGAAAAGAGACTTTTTTGTCAGCTGTCATAAAATTCCGGAGACCTCGCGTGTTAACGAGCCACGGCTAACAAACCATCACTTGGGCCTTCGAAAAAACATCCTTAATGTTTGTACAAGGGGCACGAGACAAGCTGATCCCTGGCTTACTTGTTCCTAGCCTGGAGGGGACATACTTCGTTGAAATCAAATGGTCTTTCTGTCTTTACTTTCCCTACCAGACTGCCTCCCTCGTGCATGTGACATTCATTAACCCACACTAGAATAACATGTCCCCTCTTTCCTGTAATGAGCCCCGCATCAGCTCTCCTTGACAGACAAGGAAGTACGGAAAAATCCGAGCTGTAAACCAGGTGTATATGTTAATGTTCTCAGCGGAGAACATTAACCCTAATTGACTTGCTAACATTGAGAAGTGTATTGATGGTCAAATTGTTAAAACAGAACGTGACCGTGAAGCTGGAAAATAGATTTTCTTTTAAGTGATCACACTCTCTACTGATGTGTCTCCAATTTTGAATCTGCAGAAAATTATTGCAGAAGTTGAAGGCCTCACATTTGGGCAACCCACCCAGCGGGACA